CCAATCAGTGTCAATATCACAGTAACAGTGTACAATATTAGCACTGATCACTGTACTAGCGTCACTATTGATGTCAGTGTCTCTCCCAGCCAGCGCCAGATTGCCCGTCACACTATCACAGTCCCACTATAGCATCATAGCTGCATACATTTCAGTATATATACCATAGTTTGTAGATGCCATAGCTAGCACACAAACCAATTAATATACACTTATTGGGATTTTTTTTATACTAAAGATATGTAGCAGAATACATTTTGAACTAAATTTATGAAGAAATTAGATGTTTGGATTGGATATGTTTTATCACAGAGAAAAGAAAATTTTTTTTTGCTAAAGTTTTCAGTCTATTTTCATTTATAAAATAAAAACAAAAAAAACCCATGGATGATCAAATAGAAAGCTCCACTTGTGTGAACAAAATGATACAAAAATTTCATTTGGGTACAGTGTTGCATGACCGTGCATTTACGAGTTAAAATAGTGCAGTACCAAATAGCAAAAAATGTCCTGGTCATGAGGGGGGTAAAACCTTCCAGAAGTCAAGTGCTTAAAGCAAATATTGCAGCTGCAATTCTAGGGGCCACATTGTATACTTATTGGATTTTATTCTACAGAACAATTTCCAGTATGAACACATTCCTTGATGTGTGTGCGGTTTTATTTCACCAAGGCTCATGAAATCAGGAGCAAGCAGCCTTGGGTGACAACACTGCTTCTCTGTAGATACAGTGCAGTAGTGAGTATTATTGCCATTCCAGGGTAGGACGTGGGATACTGGCAGGAGCAGCAGGTAAAAATAAAGGGAAAAGGCTAAAGAAAACAAATGTAGCCTAAGGACTAATAAACTGCTACAATACATGTTTGTTCTTAGATCTCTGATTTTCATAATCCCTAGTATCAAAACAGCCACGAAGCAGTAAAAAAGTAAAAATGCCTATCAGATTGAAGCACAGCTGCTTGCTTGCTTGCTGGGAATCATGGATCAACATAGTTGAGTGAAACAGTTTATAATTAAACAAATCCTGGAATTCCAGACTTCACAAATGGTTTTAAATGTTGGTTATGGAAGGGTAAATTAGAAAAGGAAATCACCAATGACTATAAACGTGCAGATGAATGAGCTATTCATATTAGAGTTGGTTCCATGCAAAATAAACCGACGAACAATGAAAATATTTGCTTTGGTTAAAACATATTTAATGAGTCCAAACATTATTAGGGATTAATGTCACCAGCAAAGAGAACTCTAGTCAATAGACAACAATCAGTAAAATACGATAACTAATTATTTTAGCCATGTTTGTTTAGATTTGTGGATTACAGTTACTAAAGGTTGTAATTTTTTGGCAGTAGATCATTTCCACACCTTTAAAAGCCTGCATCACCTTTCAAATAATCTCACCAACTATGGCTTGTCTGCATATGTTTTAAAGTGGAACTCCAGCTAAATGTACATTTAGGTTTACTTACAGGGGAGCAGCATTAATTTACAGCCGTGCCAAAACGTAAAGCCATGAAGGCGACATCTTTTTTTTTTCAGTTGTAGCTTCATGAATATAATTAAGAGTTCCACTTTAAAAGAACCCTGAATACAGTACAACTGTATTCAAAACTAAAATAAAAGTTTTTTTGTTTTGCTTTTTTTAAATTTTTTTTTTTTTGTGGAGGGGGATTAGTACATGTTTTTGTTATGCTGTCTGTGCCTTCGCCATAGAGATTTAATCCCTCTCTTTGTCTTGTTTATCATTATCACTGAAAGTGGAAGTAAGAGACAATTCCAAATTTTGGGTTGTCCCCAGAAAAGTAATAGAGGGGAAATCTTCCAATGCAGACACTGTTCTTGTGACCTAGGGGGCCCCAAGGGATGCACTTCCTCTCACTTCCTATTTTGACTATGGGGTAGGAAGTGAAGGTAAATCTCTCCAATGAGACACAGATGGTAGGTAAAAGAGACAGGGTTACAACGTTATCCAAATACTCTATCCAAAATGAAGAAAAAAAAATGTTTTTCCTATAGTTCCACTTCAGGCTAAATTTATAGGCTGTCATAACTGTAACCTCCTTCTGAAAATGCAATTTCTGGATATTTTATATATTTACAGACTTCAAATTTTTACGCTCTCTTAACCATAATAAGTACATAGAGCTAGAGCTTTGATTTAGTTCCGACCTAACTTGCCGTATGCTTGTTCCCAGTTACTAAGTCAGAAAGAATTTTAGCTAGGCATCTAACATTTTCAGAATGCAGTTGTATGCGACAGCCTAAGCAAGTCTCCTATACCTACCTGCTCTGAAATACATAGATGCTAGGCTTTCTATTTAATCATAAATATAGGTGTGTGGTACTACAAATGTATCAAGGCATTCATAAAATCATATAAATTTAAATGTATTTTTTGTCCTGATTGGAGTTCTCCTTTCACACAGATGTAAAGAAAAATAGAACCTACGCCCAACTCCCACAGAAACATTGTAGCTGAGGCCTTGGTGAAGCAGAGGAGAAAGAAAACATTCATTACAATTAACATTTGAGATGAAGTTGCACAAAACAGTACTTTCCAATAATTGAGGGATATTTACAATTTCTCTTGGACTACATAAAACTAAACATAACCCAGGAAATGTAAAGGACAAGTGCACAGTGCCCTTTTAGTCAAGTGTGTACTAGTCCACCATCCCCAACATAGGCAGGCCACAGATGGTGCAAATTTCTTTTCTGCAACCATGGCTAGATTCCCCCCATCCCCTCTTCAGCTGAGCCAATGTGTTCTCCAAGCGAGGAGGTGGGGAAAGCTGTCCCTGCCAGGAGAAGACAGTGATTATTGCTAGTGGTTTTAACAGCCGCTAGCGATGAACGCATGTAAAATCTGGTAAGCTGGTTGCACCCAGGTAGATCGATCAATATATTTGTGTACATTCAGCCTGCCCATACATGGTTCGAATCTTGGGCAGTTCCTGCTGAACAGGCCGAGATTTGAATCGTCTAAGTCCAACTTTAAACTAACCTAGAAACGCCACAGCCAACTGCTTACTTACCCCATTAATAAAACCGCACCATCCTCCTCTGTATACATCCTCCTAGTGCAAAACTGTAGTACCAGACACCTATGCCTCATAGATTTGTGCAGAGCTGTATTTTGAGTGTCTTCAGTTATTAAAAGTGCATTTGTCCTTTAAAGGATCACTCCCCATCCAACATGGATATTTCAATTCAAACAATTTTTTTCCTCCAATGAAAAAAACTTTGTTGAATGTTATACATGCTTACAGACACCTGAATGTACCAGGCATATAGATGATTACTGAAACAAAAACATATTTAACACATGAGTCATCAAATGGGAAGCAGGATTCCCTTGGGGATGTTAGGGAATTCAACAAATGTGTAGATGATCTCATGTTGTAGGAAGTTGCATGTTTGCTGCAAATATTTAAAACAGTAGTCTGACATTAAAGTATCAACAGTTTAGCAAGTTGTACCCATCTGCATCAACTGGGCAATAGTATCATAGCTCAGTCAATATCCTGCCAATCAGTTTTATTTTTTTTAAGAAAATCAAAACAGTCTGCCATTAAGGATTGACCTACTAAAATGCTAGATGTTTAGAATACAGGATTGAAAATGGAACCATACTTGATATAATCTCCAGTAAAATATATTGGGACTACGTTCAGTCATCTTTATCCATGATATGCCAAATCTGGGGATGCAGGAATTAACCCATTATATATTTTTGTCAACGGTGTATGGGACTGACCAGGGATCTATTAGTCCAGCTTGCTGTGCAATTTTATAAAAAAAAAAAAAAAAACTTAGTGGCCACTCTATCCCTATCTGTCCTCTATGCCTGTCCCTTTGGTTTGAGAGCTCTCAGCTTTGATTGGTATTCTATTTTATACAAATACAAAGATACGATATCTACCTTATATATGTATTTCTTTGATCCAAGATATCTTACTGATTTCTAGACATGACCCTTGACATTTTTTAATGTGTGCATTTATGTGTTCAATGTGCATTCACTTTTTAACTAATCTGTGCATGTATGTGTTCAACGTGCATTCGCTTGTAACTAATCAATCAATAAAATTTAGTATTAGTCAAAGATATTTGTCAGTACTGAGAAATTGTTTATAATTTTTCATTTTTGATATAGGATTTAAAATGTTTTTGGGTTGAGGTGTTGAGCCAAATCCATACCTTTTTATATGAGAGCTTTTTGGTGTAAAATGCTAGATGCCTGGCTTTCACACTGATGCTTTGGCTTCAACACTCAAGTGTAGTGATAGGGAAATCTGACTTTTTAAAGTTTTGCAATGGTTATTTTTGTGCCGTGTCCCACTGGGGAAATTTCTCTACACTTCTGCCCCAGAAACCTAACAGGAAATTGGAGAACATTTCCCAAAGTGAGGAGTATTCCCCTTTTAGAAAACTGTCATAACATTGGTGTCAATGGTCACCACTACAAACACAGGGGTGCATTCTCCCACTGGGGACATAGAAATAAAAACTGTACAGACGGTCTAACCCCATCCCTACTCTATTCAAAAATGTAATTAAAAAATGTTTTTCCTAGAGTTTGCACCTTCATTGAACAGGACACTTAAACTTGACTCTGGGGTAAGGAAATGTTGTCTAAATAAAATAGTCATGTGTATTCTTACTTGAATCTTTGTGTGCTTTGCAGGTTTCATCCAGATCTGTGGCAGTAATCCAGCGTGAACTCTTTTTGCAGGAGCTACCTTGGATAAAGACTGTTCACTGCTGGTCCCTTTTGCAGCTCTACTCTCTGCACAGGTTATGTACAGCACAGTAATAATGTCATCATCCGTACTTTTACAAGGTAAGATCTGTGGTCCACATAAAGTACATTTATAGCCATGGTGGTTATTAAGGAATATATATATAAATGAGCTTTAGCTTTAACATGCCTCCAAGTGATGCTCAGTGGAAGCAGAACAGACATACTGTTTCTAGAAGCAAAAGCAAAACTGACCTGGAAGACTCCACAGTCCAGACACTTCTAATGTGCGGAGTTTCTTCTCCAACTCCGCCACTCGATTGCCTAAAATTCTGAAGCAAAAAATACTGCATCACATGTTTTTTCAACACTCATACATATGGTCACAACATTCACCTAAAGACAATTACAAAGGTTTTACAATTTTATTTAAAAAAAAAAAAATAGGATTTTTTTTTAAACCAAGCAGCTGTTGTAATGACTAATGTAACCAATTAACAGTTCTACTTCTTTTTTGCTAACATGAAACCAAGATACACTACAGTCTCACAATCTAGGTGACCACATCATGCTGAACTATGGCAAAGCTCATGCAGGAGCACAACTAGGAAAGCTCCTCCAAAAAATGGGATTAAAACAGGCTTACTGCCTCAGATCTATTCTGCTACAATACTGATGAAGTAGCTTCATAAAGGGGTAACAATTCAAATGTTAACCAGTAGCTGTGGGACGATGAACAATTTGAAATGTGAGTATTTAACAGAAAGCTTTTCTAAATAAAGTTCTTACAGTTTCTTTAAAAAAAAAAGGCAGACGAGAATCCCCAAACAAAAGTTTATTAGATATTTTGTGATGCCGAACCCAATGCATTTTCCATTTACAGAAGCTGTAACTTGGCCGATTTTCTTTTCCCAAGCTTTAATGAAACACTTTGTTTTCACTTCCTTTCTCTACAAGCTGACAGCAGACAGGAGGCCACAGGGAAAGAAACACATACTTGTTGGTTTGTCTTTGGTGCTGAATGACCATATTTTTCTCATGGATGGTTTCCAGCAGAGCCGTAGCCAGAGACTTCAGATCAGAGATGGACTGCGGAGTGGCAGGAAGGCTACAGCCTTGGTCCTCGGATAATAACTCCTGAACTACAAACAGAGAAACAGCAGACATCAGATGACACTCAGATCAAATCCATTTTTCTTTTCACAGTCACCAGACAAATAAAACCTCTAAGGGCCCATTCATGCCATTTGTGTTGGGCAATTTGTTCTATTGTTTCAGTTTACATCAATGCATTGTATTGGTGTGTGATTTAAAAAAGAAAAAAAAAGCAGGACATGTTGCATTTTTATTTAGTACAGTGCATTGCAATGAGGTTGATTTACTTAAACTGGAGAGTGCAAAACCTGGTGCAGATGTGCATAGAAACCAATCAGCTTCCAAGTTTTATTGCCAAAGCTCAACTGAACACGCTAAATTAAGAAGCTGATTGGCTATCATGCACAGCTGCACCAGATTCTGTGTGCATCAATGTTAGTAAATCTCCCACAAAGTGTTCGGACAAATCACACTTCACTCTAGCGATCACTTTAGTATTCCCTCACCACCATGTGCACAAAGTGTTCGGACCAATCACATTTCACTCTAGTGATCATTTCAGTATTCCCTCACCACCATTTGCACAAAGTGTTCGGACCAATCACATTTCACTCTAGTGATCATTTCAGTATTCCCCTCACCACCATGTGCACAAAGTGTTCGGACCAATCACATTTCACTCTAGTGATCATTTCAGTATTCCCTCACCACCATGTGCACAAAGTGTTCGGACCAATCACATTTCACTCTAGTGATCATTTCAGTATTCCCTCACCACCATGTGCACAAAGTGTTCGGACAAATCACATTTCACTCTAGTGATCACTTCAGTATTCCCCCACCACCATGTGCACAAAGTGTTTGGACAAATCACACTTCACCAGGGGCGGACTGACCATTTAGTCACTCGGGTAGTGACCGAGGGCCAGGGTCAATAGGGGGCCCCATGAGATGTCCCTGGTACCTTTCATAGGCTTTTTTGGGTGTGGTTTGAGTGTGGGAGAGGACACAGGGGCCCCATGATTTCCTATTGCCCAGGGGCCCCATGAGTTGTCAGTCCGCCCCTGCACCACCATGTGCACAATCTCTAGATTATAAATCTAAACTCGGTAAGCACCATTCCACAGGAAACCTTATACTATTCCCAGATAAAGCCTTAGCGCTTGGTCATCTGGGCAAAGCTTTTTCAATGGAGGCCCGCTATCTTCTGGATGTAAAATGTAATAGAGTTGGACTTTGTGTGTTTCTTTGCTCTAGTAATGTACAACCCATGAGACTCAGATGTTAACTGCGTATTACAGATTTTGCAGTAGGTCTCAGCGAACACACTCTGTCTTCAGACTTCATGCCTTCAGTTTAGAAATAAAATTTACACTTTTTTTGTTACTATCAAAATCTGAGGACAGAGCATTGTTTACATAGATGAACTGCAAAATCTGCAATGCACAGTTAAATTAGAACTAAAGGGTACTAAATAAAAGACTTGCACTTGGGTGTTGAAGACCTTAAAAGAAGTAGCTAACCCAATCAATAGGCAAACAATAAAAATGTATAAAATTAAACAGTGTAGTGCTTAATTGTTGATACATGTTATTATTATTAATGATCAAAGGTGAGAAATCACATATGAATAAACCAATGAAAAAAAGTCCAAATAATCTGGAAGTGTTATTGAAGAACATCAGACAAGCAAAATAGCTGGACTCTAAGTGTGAAATTCCTGCAGGCGGCTGAGGAACACTGTAGACCCCTTGGCCTGGCGACAGGCTGGGAGATCCAGCTGCATCTGTTCAGTTAGGGGGCACCAGGGGCCACTGCATCTATATTGCACAGAGACATCTGTCATCTAGGAGTTATATAACTCAGAAGATCTGATATACATTGTCTGGATTTTCTGGGGGACCTATCTGCCAGTCCTTGATACATCAGCTGAGTCTGATAACTGCACTCTTTGACCAGTCCTTCGGATGGTCAAACTTTCTGGTAAGAGGCTGTGTGATTGGGTGGAAGGTTTGGGGTTCCGGCTTCCTGCAAAGCACCAACACTTCCAGATTATTTGGACTTTTTTTTTCATCGATTTATCTGTGTTATTTATAAGTGATTTCTCACCTTTGGTGGATGATAGGTCAATAATAATAATAATCACATGTATCAACAATTAAGCACTACACTGTTAAATTTATACATTGGAATTAAAAGGTGAATACTCACCTGTCCAAAAAGGTCCTTCACTGGCGCCAGCACCTTCTTCTGAGTGCCAATCTGCGAGCTTCTTCATTGGCCAGCAGAGGATGACATGCATGCACAGGAGGAAGTCATACCAGCAGTCAGAGATTGACCTGGCACTGTAAGCTGAGCCGTGCATGGGAAACTCAGTTTTTAGTGCTGGAGAAGACCACACAAAAGCCTGTCTGCTTGCTGGTTCTTATAGTGCAACTTCAATTCCACTTTAATATTTAAGTCTTGGAGGTCGTGTACATTACGAGAGCAAAAAACTCACTGTCAACGTCCGACTTTATTGCATGTAAAATTCAGAGGATAGGGAGCCTCCATCAAAAAACTTCACCCAGATGACCCAGCTTTGAGGATTTATCTGGGAATCGTATACATTTTTCTGTGGAATGGTGCTGACCGAGTTTGCTGTGAAAAACTGTGATACTTATTACCACAAATGCGGCAGTTGCACTTTCCCAAGAGCTTAGTGAACATGGTGAGGTTCTGCTGATTTCCATCATTCAATCATGTGCAAGAAAAAAAAAGGCTGTTCTTTTTATTTTCCTTTTACCTGATTGGTTATTCTTTACAAAGTGAAGCTTTACCACATTCATTAAGCTATGGGGAAAATGAGTGCACAGTCTACTTGCCTTAAATGAACCCCATTATGTGCCTATTTTTAGTGCTTTTGTGTATAAACCCTACAGTAGTATTTCAAAATATATACTCTTCATAAAATGTTTCAAGTTAACCACTTCCCTACCAGGTCAATTCTGTCACTTCTAACATACATTCAAAAATTTTTATTTTTTTTTGTTAGAAAATTACTTACCCCTAAACACACACACACAAAATATATACATACACACATACACTATACTGCCAAAAATATTAGGAAGCCCCTCCAATGATTTAGATTCATGTGTTTCCAATCACCTCCATGGCCCCAGGTGTATAAAATCAAACACCTAGGCATGCAGACTGCTTCTACAAACATTTGTGACAGAATGGGTCGCTCTCAGGAGCTCAGTGAATTCAAGCGTGGTACTGTGATAGGTTGCCACCTGTGCAATAAGTCGATCTGTGAAATGTCCTTGCTACTAAATATTCCATGGTCAACTGTTAGTGGTATTATAACAAAGTGGAAGCAACTGGGAACAACAGCAACTCAGCCACCAATTGGTAGGCTATGTAAAATGACAGAATGGATTCAGTGAATGCTGAAGTAATAAGTAATAAGTCGCCAACTGTCTGCAGAGTCAATAGCTAAAGACCTCCAAACTTCATGTGGACTTCAGATTAGCCCAACAACAGTTCGTAGAGAGCTTCATGGAATGGGTTTCCATGGCCGAGCAGCTGCATCCAAGCATTACATCACCAAATGCAATGCAAAGTGTCGGATGCAGTGGTGTAAAGCACGCCACCACTGGACTCTAGAGCAGTGGAGACATGTTCTCTGGACTGACCAATCACGCTTCTCTGTCTGGCAATCCGATGGACGTGTCTGGGAATGGCGGTTTTAAGGAGAACGGTACTTGCCTGACTGCATTGTTCCAAGTGTAAAGTTTGATGGAAGGGGGATTATGGTGTGGGGTTGTTTTTTCAGGGGCTGGACTTGGCCCCTTAGTTCCAATGAAGGTAACTCATAAGGTATCAGAATACCAAGACATTTTGGACAATTTCATGCTCCCAACTTTGTGGGAACAGTTTTGGGATGGCCCCTTCCAAAATGCACAAAGCAAGGTCCATAAAGACATGGTTGAGCAAGTCTGGGGTGGAGGGACTTGACTGGCCTGCACAGAGAATTAGAGTGGAGACTGCGAGCCAGGGCTTCTCGTCCGACATCAGTGCCTGACCTCACAAATGCGCTTCCGGAAGAATGGTCAAATATTCCCAAAAACACACTCCTAAACCTTATAGACAGCCTTCCAAGAAGAGTTGAAGCTGTTAAAGCTGCGGGGGGGGGGGGGGGGGGGGGGGGGGCAAATATTGAACCCTACGGACTAAAACTGGGATGCCATTTTAAGCGTGTAAAGGCAGGCATCCCAATACTTTTGGCAATATACTGTGTATATGTGTGTATTATATTTACACACACACACAATTAAAGGAACACTTTGAAAACACATCAAATCTCAATAGGGAAAAATATCATGCTGGATATCTGTACTGATATGGACTGGGTAATGCATTAGGAACGTAAGGATGCCCCATCATTTGATGGAAATGAAAATGATCAACCTACAGAGGACTGACTTCAAAAACACCCCAAAAATCAAAGTGGAAAAAATTATGCAGTAGGCTAGTCTATTTTGCTGAAATTTCATTGCAGCATCTCAATATGGTACTCAGTAGTTTGTATGGCCCCCACGTGCTTGTATGCATGCCTGACAATGCTTCTAATGACATGACGGATGGTGTCCTGGGGTATTTCCTCCCAGATCTGGACCAGGGCATCACTGAGCTCCTGAACAGTCTGAGGTGCAACCTGGCTGTGTCGAATGGACCGAAACATGATATCCCAGAGGTGTTCTGTTGGATTTAGGTCAGGCGAGCGCGAGGGTTATTTAATGGTATCAATTCCTTCATCCTCCGGGAACTGCCTGCATACTCGCCACATGAGGCCGGGCACTGTCGTGCACCAGGAGGAACCCAGGACCCACTGCACCAGCCTAGGGTCTGACAATGAGTCCAAGGATATCATCCCAATACCTAATGGAAGTCAGGGTACCATTGTCTAGCCTGTAGAGGTCTGTGCATCCCTCCATGGATATGCCTCCCCAAACCATCACTGACCCACCACCAAAACGCTCATGCTGAACAATTTTACAGGCAGCAAAAAACATTCTCCACGGCTTCACCAGACCCTTTCACGTCTGTCACATGTGCTCAGGGTGAATCTGCTCTCATCTGTAAAAAGCACAGGGGCGCCAGTGGCAGACCTGCCAATTCTGGTGTTGATCGCTTCTCGGCCTTTTGGCTAAGATCAAGTGTAGTATCTGTTCTTATCAGTGTCCAGTGGGGGTGCTACCGACCATTCTAGTTTACGGGGATGGTTGTTGTACAGTACCCTCACTGGTATGATGGGGGTCCGGAAGGCTAGTACCGGAGGGACAGAAACCAGGGAGCGCCATGATTCGTTCTGGGGCCTTGGGAGTAATTCCTCTGGGGAGACCGGAAAGACCCAGTTCCTCCTGGTTTGAGCATGCTACCTTGGTCTGGCCTGGGGCTGAGGAGGCAAAAAGTCCGCAAACTCAGTGCCCCCTGAGGAGACGCGCTCAGGGGTGTCACTAGTAACACTTGGGTGTGGGACCCCACGGTGTGAAGATGACACATGGCCACTGTTTTTACACTCTTTTTTGCACAGCGCCCTAAGGACCAGGTCTTTTGGCTAAGTCCAGGGCAATTTTTGCTACGGGCCTCAGGGCCTGGTCTGTGCACTATTAGGCACGGTACCACTTTTTTATTTTTATTCTATTTATTTATTCACTCCCACGTTTTGTCACTTTTTGCTTTCTTATGTGTGTGTTTTTCACGGATGGAGGGTGTGGGTCCTCGGGCCTTACCTGAAGTCTAGGGGGAGGATGTGTGGCCATACGGTTCCTTCCTCCCCTGATCCCTAGGGGGTTTTCTCTTCGGGGAGAACCCCCTTGCCTAGTACTGGATGTCCGGCTTCGGCTGGGCATAAGGAACGGTGGTCCACCAGGCCTTTTGGCCAGGAGGACCAAATGGGAACCTTGTCCCTGTCAGGAGCTTCGTGCCCCGGGGGATCGGGGTGAACGGTCCAGCCCTTTCGGGGGTAGGACAAACACACCCCTAAGTGCACGTTTTTCGTGTGTGTGTGTTTCTGCACTTGCACTTTTTTGCGGACACTTACGGGTTTTTTCGTTACAGTCTCACGTTTGCGGACTTAAAAAAAAAAAAAAAAAAAAAAAAAAAAAAAATTCTGGTGTTGAATGGCAAATGTCAATTGAGCTCTATGGTGCCGGGCAGTGAGCACAGGGCTCACTAGAGGATGTCGGGTCCTCAGGCCACCCTCATGAAGTCAGTTTCTGATTGTTTGGTTGGAGACATTCACAGCAGTGGTCTGCTGGAGGTCATTTTGTAGTTCTCTGGCAGTGCTCACCCTGTTCCTCCTTGCACAAAAGAGCAGATACCGGTCATGCTGATGGGTTAAGGACCTTCTACAGCCCTGTCCAGCTCTCTTCAAGAAACTGCCTGTCTCCTCGATTCTCCTCCATGTTCTTGAGACTGTGCTGGGAGACACAGCAAACCTTCTGGCAATGGCAAGTATTGATGTGCCATCCTGAAGGAGTTGGACTGCCTATGCAACCTCTGTAGGGTCTAGGTATCGCCTCATGCTACCAGTAGTGACATTGACCCTAGGCTAATGTAAAACTAGTGAAAAACAGTTAGAAAAGATGAGTAGAGACAAAATATGTCAGTGGCCTCCACCTGTAAAACCAATCCTGTTTTGGGGATCATCTCATTGTTGCCCATCTAGTGCACCGGTTGTTAATTTCATTAACACCAAAGCAGCTGAAACTGATTAACAACCCCCTCTGTTATTTAACTGAGCAAATCAATATCCCAGGCGTTTAATTGACTTGATGCTATACTCATTAAAATGTGTTCCTTTAATTTTTTCGAGCAAAGTATATATACTGTATAAAAATATATTTATTTGTTTTGTATTTTTTAGCAGAGGCCCTATAAAAAAAAAAACCAATGGGTGTTGCAATTTTTTCCATAGGCTTCACTTTATACGCCTTTACATGTTACCAGTTTAGAATTACACAGGAGGTCTGGTGCTAGAATTATTGCTCTCACTCTGACGTTCACAACAATACCTCAAGTGTGGTGCAATCACCATTTACATATACGTGCGGGATATTTGTATGTGTTCACATTTGCGGGTAAGCACAGAGGTAACTTAAATTTTTTTTTATAATTATTTTTATTATTTATTTTTATCTAAAACTTTTTTCTTTACACTGTCGCTATTTTTTTTATTAACTTTATTACTATCACAATGGATGAACAACTTCCCTTGTGACAGCATGGGCCATGACAGGTCCTCTTTATGGAAAGATCTGGGAGCTATTAGATCCTAAATCTCTCCTCTAACCTCCAATGCAGCCAATCACACACAGATCGGTCTGATCGGCTGCTTTCCTGGCTGCTAACAGCCAGGTGAACAAAAAGCCCAAACCGGAAGTGACGACATCCTTGTCATTTCTGGGGTCACAGAGAGTGAGGAACAACATCAGTTCCTCTCTCTCTTGGTTATGACTAAGCACGAGATCGTGTGAAACACGTTAACAGGTCCTGTATTCATGTCCTGGTGTTTTGTGTGTTCTATGGATCAATATATATACACTGTATTCATCAATCCTCCGGTGTGCGGCTGACCCTCTTCCCATTTCTGGGGTCAGAGAGAGTGAGGAACAACGTCAGTTCCCCTCTCTCTGTGTAGTGCCACCATTGGTCGCAGTGCTCCAGGGCTCCGCTATCGGACAGCCCGCAGCCACTCTAATCATTTCTGCCTAAAAGAGCATCGTCGGCTGCAAATTTTGATATCGGGCTAATGCCAGTAGCTGCAGGCATCATCCTTGTAAAACCACTAAAACTCAAGGACGTCCATGGACATCCTTGAGCACAAAGTGGTAAAAAGTTGTTTCAATTCACACTGGATATATCTCTTACATGAAAAGAAAGTTACATTGTTCTATATAACGTGTATTAATGTAGCACCCTTATTTCAATAAACTTACTATAAGAAAAAAAAAATAACATTGTTGTATGTGGCATACATTATGACAACATTTGTGGTATCACATAATGATAATAAAGGTAGTCCTTTTCTAGCAGGTACCTTGTTTGGCAGAAAGCACCCCTGTCAGAGCACTGCTGTTTGACTTGCCACTTGACTTGGAATTCTTCCTTCTCTCCAGAGCATTCTAAAATTAAAAAGACTATGACAGATAAACCTTGCATCAAAATAAGCACCTTATTACTGGCATTCCTATGTACATACACTGACACAGAAACGGGAGGCAGAAACTACTACTGGACCCGTGGGCCTAAGGGAGTTCTGAGCCCAATTCAAACATGTTGATCTCTTCCTTTATTGCAACAATGAGAGCAGGTTTGTTATAAATAAAGCAATAGTAGAGGTTATTATCAGAGAGGCAATGTCATGGTTCATTCTTTATCTTTGGCTTGGAGTTGTTTAGCTACCCCCTATAAATATACTGTATATTATATAGCACAATACAAGGAATTTCTGAATTATTGTACCTTCCAGCAGACAGGAGGAGGCTGATTACTATATGAGTTTTTTCATTCACAAATCTGTGCGACTATTCAGTTCAATTATCAAATCATGTCAAAAGCAATTTCCTGATCACTTTGAATATCCAATCGTGCAGATGATTTTCCCAAGATTGGATAAGGAAAGTAAATCTTAACACAATTTTTGAGTGAAGATTTCAACTTCTGTATCACCAGAGCAGGAATGGGTTGTCCTCACTGGGAAGACTCACACTATTTGTCCTAGTGATTACTGTCACCTAAACTGAAAGTACTAGGAAATGCTTAATTTTAAAGTTGTCATCAGAACAAGAGGTCAAGGGAAATGTTCTATTACCCATATGCCATTAATTTTCCTGCTCATTTAAATGGCATCACTCCCTGTGATTGTGTCATTAACTGCACATCCTATCACATGCATCTTCCCTAAATGGAAGCTCAGTGACACTTAGGCCATATATTAGATCTAGGGCACTGACGCTGAACCCACTGTAAATAATATGCAGCCCAAATGGCCCATCAATGGCAACTTCTGGTATTTTGACTTGTGAACGATTGCCTTTAACCCTTTCACTGTCAAGACGTTTTTGAATTTTTTGCATACATGTTAAAATGCCCATTTAGGCCTGAAGATTAGTTAAACCCCCATTATATATTTTCTAAAAGCAAGGACGCTAGAATATAAAATGGTAGGAGTTGCTATTTATTATGTCAGATGATATTACACAGACGGGGGGGGGGGGGGGGGGTTAGGGGGGTACGGTCATTGTCCTGCGTGGATTCATTTTCTGCTGGAGTGGAAAACAGCAGTTGAACACAGCTCCCTGATCATGTACTCTCTTTTTCACAGGGAGATGCTGTTTTGCGATCTCAACCATAAACTGTCTCCCTGCAGTGCACTGCCTTTCTGCAAACTTAGGGTAAATGCTGTTCTGTGATCTCCACCTTAAACTGTCTCCCTGCTACGCACTGACTTTCAGCAAAAACTCAGGATAATTAGTCCTATATCTGTTTATCGTGATTGATTCTCACCTCTGCCTGTGATCAGAGAATCAATCATCTTTTATGACTCTGGCCTGTGTCTATAGCTGATCCCCCAAAATTCATGTTATCCTTATCAGTACCTAATTGGGGCAGAGAAGAGTTACTCATTTGATCATCTCCCTATAAATTTAGACCAGCTTATGAGGGAGGTCACAGACAGGGGGGGGTACTGTCACAAATGGGGGCATTGTCCTGCGTGAGTGCATTTTCTGATGGAGTGCCAAACAGCAGTCGAACACAGCAGTGCATTTTCTGCTGGAGTGCAGAACCTACTAGCAATTATAGAAACTTATAAAAATGAAACAGTGAGCGCCAAAGAGAAATAGAAGTAAAGCGACCATGCACAGAAATATAACTAATAGAACACCTTAAAACTGACAATAATAAACAAATAAGTGCAGTGCTAAAATATGTTGTGAACCAAATAACATATCAATAAAAATCAATAAAAAGTCCCAATGTAATTGGTGATAGTAACAAGATGCCTCTTGTGCTATGGTGACACTGGACCCGGTATCAGTGCAAAATTGATAAGGTAATGCATACTCACCAGACGCGCATAATGTTTGCGCCTTGTAATAATAATCCAGATGTCATCAGGTAGAGAACTGGTTTGGAGATGCTCTTCCCTCTTATGGGATAGTGGGTCATCACATTGGATGCTAAGAGGCTGATGAAAACACTCTTCGTCCACTAGTTGTCCCTCTCTCCAATAGGTATCTCTCAGGGTGTATGAGTATCCTCTAGGAAGTACTGGTCCGTCCCTGGTATAGTGGGTCTGCAGGCTAAAAATCTCCCCCAAGGGGTAGGGATAAAGTACTCTCTCCGGTCATGTTACCCACTGCGCGTTCTGGTATCGGTGCACCGGCCGGGGACGCGCTTTTCCCTCTTCCCTCTGGTATCGGTGCACCGTCCCCGGCCGGTGCACCGATACCAGAGCGCGCAGTGGGTAACTGGACCGGAGAGAGTACCTTTGTCCCTATCCCTTGGGGAAGCCATTTATAACTCTGCCCCAAATTACCAATCACCAATTTTGTCTCCAAATATCACCCAAACTGTCCTCTCTGCTCCTCCCACAACCTCCTGCTCTCTAGCTCCCTTGCCTCCTCCTCCCATGCTCATCTTGAGGACTTCTCCAGAGCCTCCCCCATCCTCTGGAACACTCATCAGCTTCCACACACTGTGGCTGGAGGAAGGCAGATCTGGCGAGTAATCCAGGGGCCCACCACAAGACCCCAGAAGAGACATCTGGCGCTAAATGATGTCAGGGAAGAAGGCAGTGGCTTGGGACCAGTTCCAATGCAACTGGTGTGATCAAGCCCTAAAAATAAATTTTCCCGCATTCTTTATAGATACAGAAGTGAATGATGACTTGTTTTAAAAGGTACTTGAGCATATGTAAATACTTTAGTGTGCACGATCTGGGCAAAGCTTATACTTTAATAAAGGTCTCCAATTGAGTTCTGCATGATTTTGTGGCTAAATAGTGACTGCTTGCCTATTCTCTCTCTTCTATAGCAATTGCAAGCCACTCTTGTGCAAGTTAATTTAACCTTGCCTCTGTTGCAGAACTAAGAAGTGCTTAAGAGCATGTTTTTAAACAGGCACAGATATGCTCAATGCATCCGATTCATTATGAAGCTTGCATACACATAATAAAACCTGTCCCTCACTTGCAATTTAAAATATAGGATGAGACAGATTAGTAACCTCAATAATTAGGCAGTATTGATAAATGTCCCCCAGTGTCTCCACTCCTTCCTGCTTGAGCTATTAATCCTTCCTTCCCCATCTAGGTCTTTGTTCATATAAAACAAGATTCTGTAGAAGCACAACAGTCATGTTTTATTTAACTACAACAATTTAGGGATTTCATTTCTCAACCCACCCACACACTTCATTTACCTTGTATTTGACGATGTTGCTTTTCTGCAGGTTAACTTCCTCTTGCAGTTGTTTCAGCCTTTCCTGCAAATACCTGGAGAAAAACAATTTGAAATCTCACAGTAGTTCTCTGGGAGACAAGAACACAAGAATGTGATGCAGCAATCACAGCAATCTGAGGGAGATGCAATTTAAGTCTAGACTAGAAAATGTGTGACTGTTCCTTGAACGTGTATTCAGAAAGGTACATATTGATGAAATTCCCTTATTTAACAATGAAATAACATAAAGAAAAGCAATTAGGTTGCACAAAGCAATGTTGCTGTGGATGTGTAGTAACCGATAGCAACCAGTAATGTCACTCTAAGAACCTCCAAACTGATTGGTTGTTGTGGGTTACTTTCCCCGTACATCCCTTCTTGCCATTTGTGTTGTTTATAGAATAATCCTGAAAGTGCATGAAACCATAAATTGATCTGCAAGCGATAGTGGGGCATGGGCTGACCGCTTTGTTGGTTGCTATGGTGATGTTACTTCAGCTAAGAAAACGCTGCAGGAGCTCGACCACATTCCGAAGGGCGAGGAGAGGGCACAGATTACTCACAAATACTTGGAACTAATGTTTATTAAGCTGCTTAAAAGAACTGGAGAACAATGAGACTACAGATGATGCCAATCAATCTAATTGTACAATCTATCAAAGTTTAGACAGAACTGAACAGAAACCTTTAATGGTCTCTAAGCAGACTGTAGAGTTGGCTACGTACAATGTTCTTTTCTTGTAAGCCATTCACTTTTTCTGTACCATTCAGTTTTGATTTATGGTGAAAGCTGGACACAATAACACTAGATGCACAAAAAATCGCAATGCAATAAAAAAAAAAAAAATTAAATTATATTTATTTATACACACATACAAAACATACATATACACACACACATATTATATATATGCACATACATACACACAACTATCAGATTGTACTATTGGGATGATGACGACTATTGGGAATTATATCTCAGACATGCAAACTAGCTTTTTGTTTTTTGTTTTTTAATTAAACTAAGGTGAAAGACACTGTGCAGCAGTGGCATAGCGTTGTTTCTCAGTGCCTGGGACTAGGAAAGTAATTTGCACCCCAACAAGAGAAAGAGATGGTCGGTCAGTGTGGGTCTCGGGACGGCGCAGGACTAATTGCTGCGCCCCTTTAAATTCTGCACCCAGGGCCACTGCCCTCCTTCCCCCCCATGTTACACCACTGCTGTGTAGCAACTCCTATGGGGGTTTACTGGAATTTAACATTTACTGACTAGAGCAAAAGGAGAGGCGCGCAACCCTAGGGGCACCACAGGGGCGCATGCCCCTAAAAGCACAAGGCTCTGAGGATATACTACACTCCATATTAGTAGAGTTGGTAAACTCTGCAGCGCATGCAAAAGAAACTTGAGGCTTTTTGCCTGTAATAGAGAAGTATGAAGTACTGCATGTAAGACATAAGAGGAATGCAGGGTGTTACAGAGTGTGACGAGGTACAGGCAGTAGGGGCTTGAAACCCTGCATGTAGGACAGTAGCTTAAGGAAGTACATTCAGTAGAAGTAGAAGTGTTACAAACTGCCTGTAGCATGAAGTTCTGTGTGTTGAGGAGCACCATAAAGGACTACATGTAAGAGGCAGGCGTGACAGAATGGGTGTATACGGAATGCGTGCTATAGTGTGGAAAGAGGCACAGAGTATAACAGGTGAAATTTACTGTATGTGATAGAGAAGCGAGAGGTACCACTTGAAAATACGAAAGTAAGAGGGAAGAGGCACTGCAAGTAGCATGAAGGCTTGAGATACTGCAAGTAAGATGAAGTGTGAGGCACTGCATATAACAGGCTTGTGTTAACAGAAATGAATGAATGAAAAATATAAGCACTTTTGTGCAATAGACACATTAGGCACAGCCTGAAAAAAGAAGCATAACAGAGGCGCAGTATTATAATTTAATAAAGAGGTAAGAGACGCTGCATGATAATACAAGAGGCATGAGGCACTGAGTGTGATGGAGGCATAAAGCCCTGCAGGTTAAGAGGCAGTGTGAGCATTAGAAGCATGACACTGCACTGAGAAGTGTAAGGCCTTGTGTGTAAAAGAGGCACGAGATACTAGATGGAGGAAAACAGAGAGGCAGCACATAGAAGAGGTATATAGCACTTCAAGTTAAACAGGGGCAACAAAAGGGATAGCATATGACAGACAGAGTAAGGCACTTCATGGGATACAGGGGTCAATGAGATTTGCACTCCACTTAGTACATTTGTGTAATAGCTGGCTCTGTTTTCCTTATCTTCTCATATGTCACTGCCTCAGGCCTTTCACATACAGCCGATAACTACATAGATTTGGGTACAACAGACTATTTCTAATGATGAAATGGCTTCAGTCAGGTTAATATTGGGTATATCTTATCTTGATAAGTTTTTCACTTCTAAATACATTAGAGAATGTCTTCAGTGATTGCAGACACTATGATACACCTATGTAAGGCCCCTTTTACACAGCCCTGTTGCACTTTTGCTAAAGTGCAGCTAACCTGTGGTTTTCATGAGGGCTAGTTGCACTTTCTCATAGACTTCCATGAGGTCCAGCAGTTTTCTGAATCTGCATGTTGCATCTATGGGAAAGTGCAGCTAACTCGCACAAAACCTGTGGGTTAGCTGTGCTTTGATCAAAAAGCAGCGGTACTGCACCAGGGCAATGTGAAGCCGCCCTTAAAGTCCCACTACTGGACTACTACCAGTAAGAAGGCCACAGGTTCACTTTAAGTGCTATATAATATTTTTGAAAGTCAAACAGAAAAAAAAAAAAAAAAATCAGTGCAGCAGAGAACGTTTATTCCAGCATTTCATTATCCGCCCTCAGAGAAATCAGTCTGCTCTATATCTCAAGGCCAGAAAGGTTGCAGCTGTTTGCATGGAAGATTGGATGTTAATGGACTCCACTTCGGCGAGTTATAAATATATTGGGAAAGAATAAAGCTTGAAGTTCATGTCTAGGACAGTGAAGGTTGTCAAAATATAATTAGGAGTTTCAAAAACCATATCAGATGTCTAAAAAAGTTTCATAACTGATTTTGACAGTTTGCAAAATAGAAAGCCCCAATCGCACAGGAAACTGGTAAGGCTTTATGCACACTGCACAGAAAAACTCACAACCTTCCAAAAGAGACAAAGTGGAATTCCAGCCAAAACTCTTTTTTGTGTGTTGGAGAAAAGTGGGCAAGGGTTACGATTTCTGTTTGGGTTTACTTTTTTTTTTCTGGGTCCCCACTAGTGAATTTTCCACTGATTTCCTGTTTTATTAACCACTATGACTGGAATATGAGTTAATCATAAATCTCTGCAACAGGGGGCACATGTTTGTAAAAAAGTTGTTTTTGTTTGTTTTTTTTAATTGCTGTCTGTGTCCCAATTGGAAAGATTTTCCCCCACGTTCTCTCATGGAGACCATTGTTACTGGGACAAAGAAAGGGAAGTCCTACATAATGAAACACTTAAAGTTACATTTAAAAGGTCACTGAATAAATATCCCACTATGTATTACAGAACAGCCAAAATATAGGGCATGCTGCTCCCAAGCAGCCTTGAATCAAGTCACCCTCAAGAAAGATCAGATGCTTAACCCCAGCAGGGGCTCATCCTATGCTCCAGACTGCAAAAATCCAAAAAAGGCAGGCTGCACTCTAAATAAAAAAAAGAAAATTCAAACACTGGTGACTTTATCTATCCAGGCACCATGAATTGAGAGTCCTCATCAGAGACCTCATCCACTGATGCGTTTCACAAGGTTCTTTACGGTTACGCCCAGCCATGCAGCTGAAAAACATCAGTGGAGGAGGTTCCGGGCAGAGACTCTCTGTTCATGTTTCCCAGATATATAAAGTTACCAGCTTTTGATTTTCTTGGGCATGCAGACAATCTATTAATGTGGATTTATGCATTACAGAATCTTGGCTGGCAATTAATCTTTAGGTGTAGGTTGACAACCCAAGGGATAGTCTAGTCTTTTCACAGAATGCCATGGTATTTTTTTAAAACTTAACAGTATATATCCAATTCACCTGCTCATATAGATTGGACACTTTTCTGCAGCGCACCAAGGAGAACCCTTCACATCAGTCCCTTCCCATGAAGCAGCTTATAGCCATCAGCTAGAGTCATATACATGCATACTTACACAACAACACTGATCTGCAAGTAGATATACAGTGAACCCATCGGGCCTTACTTCATATTAACAACAATATAGTCACTGGGATCTGGAGTGGATGGGGAGAGGAGGGTTATAACACCAGGAATCCATATCCAGTGCCATACCATACTGCTCAGGGCAGGAAAGTGACAAGGGAAATATCACAGCTGTGTTAGTAAACACTGGTGTCACTGCCCTGACTATACAGTGTGTATGGGGTGCTTACCCCACAAGTCTGCCTTCAATGAGTAACATAATTAGCAGGCAATAGTTGCATATAAGCATCTCAATTATTTATTTAGCGGTTTGCTTTAAGTTCCTCTTTAAACAAATGCACACAAGCAAAGCACAAATTACAACTTGGTTTATGTAAGAGTATTTCAAGAACACTATATGAAGGCTGCCATTGTGGAACTCTCCATCTAAAAATGCCATTTACCTTTGCAGTCATGCTGATCCAGTGGTTTCATTACTTTCTAGGTCACCAACGATAAAGATGTATGCAAATTAGGAGTTCTGACTTCACCCTATCCTTCCTACCCTGCATGCTGGTTCCAGGTCATTAATTGAAAAAGTACTGAATACAGAAACCAGGAAGCCAAGTAATCAGTATAAGAAGATCAGCAATGGCAGCCAACATATATTTCTCCCAATCCAGGCTTCCTAGCTTATCATGTAAAAGTTTACGAAAATAATTCTAACTGAAGACAAAGTAAAAGTTGTATTGTGTAAAGAAATATTTTATAAAAGCACATCCATCTTGGTCAAAGTGGCAGTGTCTCTTGATAGCTCACCACCTAGCAAGGTATGCTCAGTGGTTCATGTTCCTTCACTGCCTTACCTCTACAGAATTCTACCCTGAGTAAGCTCCTGCGTTAAAATGTCACTGCTTTGCCTACGCTACAGTTTGCAGGCCTGGCAAATGGCTGCTTGAGACAGAACAATGTCACATAGGGGAGGTCACATGCTCTCCTATACTACAAAGCCTCACTCCAGTAAAGCAACATAGCATGGGCTCTGACAGAGTGAGTATACTTTGATGGGACACAGGCTATCAGGGGGCATGGTTACTTTAAAATTACTGTTTTACCCTTCTCTCATTACTTCATGATTTGAGGACATGCAAAAAGTAAGTGCATATCAAGATTTGGGACACCTAAATTGCAGTGAAGTAAATAACAAGGATGAAGCATACACCTTCAAAAACTAAGACAGCAATGGTAGCTTCCAACAGTTTTACGGTGACCGGTAATCTACTTAACTCAAACATGCTATGGAAGTTATGGCCAAACTGAAGAAAAACTGTATGGAGGCTAGAATGTTGACCTTCAGAAAATGCTAGATGTCTGGCTGTCTGTTAGGGCAGTACTTGCTTAGTTACTGTCCCATAACAAGTGTGCAGCTAGTGAAGGTCAAAGAGAAGAATTCCTGGTCAGCACACTTTTTCCAGTACCTAAAAAGTAAATCAGGGCTTTTACAGAGAGATTTGTCTTTAAATTGCAAAGAAAAAAAAAGTCAATTGAATGGGAATTGAGCACTTAATTAAGAAGTAGATAATGATGTGACTACAAGAGTAGAAAGAACAAAAACAAACCAGACATGTAATATATGTGGCTTAACAGCCCATTGCCTGCGACAACATTAACTCCCACAAAGCATATGTTGATATAAATGGAGCATATGGTCAGCCATACGATCTTGGTTTTGAGTTTTCATCTCCATGTTGCTGTCTCAACACTAAGACAAAACATTTATTTGCCTTCATCTCGCCTCATAATACAGGGTCCTGAATGTCGGAGACTCCAGAAAACACAGACCCACCTGTTCTCCATACACAGCGCATCCACATCGATGATCCTTTTTTCATGACCACCTAGAACATGGTTAAGTTCTTGGTTCAACCTTTCCGCTTTATCCTGGAAGAACGAGCGTTCCTGCTTCACATCTTGGAGCTCATCCAGAGCGGTTCGGAGGTCATGTTCCAGAGATTCTATCTAGAGAAGGAATCTTGATTAGGCAGGCCAAAATTCAATAGACGCAAGTGCAAGATAGTATACGAAAATGCTAAAAGGGGCTGCATTATTTTTACTAAAGAATGAAGGTACCCAACTGAAAAAACAATATTTAACATATGCAGTTTATGCATCAAATGCAGTAGATGCAATATGTCTAGCTCTAATAAAGGGCTGAGAAAAAGTCTCAGCTTCGTGAATGCAAAGAATTAATGAAAGTAGATTATAACTAGCTACAGAAAAAAAACTGGTTTGTCATTCAGTTTTTCAAAGTGTAACTCCAAGCAAACCTTAGATAGCCAAAGGGTTGAAACAACTATTAGGTTTATACTGCTGTGTGTTGCCCCTCTGGGGAGGATTAACTCTTCATATTTGTCCACATAACTGTCTATGGGACCGAAAATGATAGAAGAGTCAAAATTTTATGGCTACCAGAACAGAAGCTAAAGTGTTACTAAACCCACATCAGTAAAATCAGTCTGTATATGCGTGACGAACATGGTGCCCGACCCCTGCCCTTCTCACCAACTCGTGACAATGGACCAGCCAATCTCACACTACACTGTCATTTGCATAACAATGCCACTCTCAGATTCACCTTGCACAAAAATTTTCCAGCTCGCGGGACCACAATCTATGTGCCAACAGCCTGAGAGCGATTGTCACTGGGTTAGGTTAATTACGCAATTAACCCTTCAAACTCCAAACTGCAACCAGATAGCTTTGGGATATCAATCCTTCACAATGTTAGCAAGAACAAATGTGAACAATAAACATCTGTAACATACACTGTCACCACAGACAAATATATTCAGAGGATTATTATATACAGTAGCACTCTTCAAGAGACAGAAATTCTTTAGTTTGCATTAAAAGCCTTAGAGATAATTTTAACACTTTTCAAAATAGGGTTGATTAATGAAAAGGTCAAATGGTGCAATTAAAATATTTACAGAAAGGGATGGTGCAAAGAAAGAAAGAACAATAATGCAACAGAGAAATAAAAGAAAGGAGTTAAGAAGGCATAATACTTGCAAAGTCCAAGCAAAAACGTTGCTGTGGCTCTCTTGGGTGCTCCTTGGTTGACGTTAAATGAGAGCTTCATACTAGATCCTGTAAGTCCCTTTTCTAGGATATCAAAGGGGTGTCGCCAGAGACCAACTGACCAATAATCTGGTTTAAGGGATGGGTGCTAGGAGGTCACCAAATGTATGCGCAAGTCCCAACTACAGTTTTACACTAATATTACTAACCTCCAATACGTGCAGGTGGTATTCTAGCAACTGGCAGATTAATATTCAGAACTATATTATTTCAAACCCAGCGATACCAAACACAGCATACCTGGTCACCCAGGAGACAGGATATCCCTTTCCTTTCTCCCCTTTCCTATGTGCTAATATAGTCAGGTATGACCTTGATTTGTTCGGTATGATATTCCCCATTCAAATATATACCTAATATTAAGGAGTCCTGCTCCTGTTGATCTCTATGTGAAATTTTAAGTTGTGGAATAGATGTTTTATGGCATGCTCTGCATTCCTAGAGCCTTAATGGCCTTATATGTCATGTGTGACGGCTTGACTGAGTTATTATTGTTTTACGATAGGGCAGAGGAAAGTGTTTTCCATGGTTAGTGGAAACAGACATCCTGCCAAGACTAATTAGCGGTTTACAGCCTGGCCAGCTCTGTGTTTTAATTAAGATAAGACGTTCTTTTGAAGTTCGATAAAAGTTACAGCTACAAGTTCCATAGTTTGGGGAGGGGGGTAAGAACACTGCTCATGACACCCTCACAAGATGGCTGTCGCATACAGCTTCCTTGTCTCTAACCCTAAGGGGTTAATGGTCGGTATTGTGTAAAAAGGCTGTTTGATCCTGTCTTCTAATCCTCCCCTTCTTCTACTATCCCCAAACTATCTGCTGATAGTACAGAGCTCTAGGAGTCACTCTGCACATGCTCAGTTTAGTGTGTATTACCTAGTTTGTTTGTTTGGGGGTTTTTTTGGGGGGGGGTACATGTGATTAGCACAGGGCCAATCAGCACTGTTCAGACAGTGTCAGGGGTCATGCAACTTTAACCAGTGCTCTGCTGGACACTGATAAAAGTCACAAGACTGCGCTAACTGCTGTTGAGAAAGGTATTTAGCAGTTTATATTCACTAAAATAATTGCATTTCCATGTTCTGCAGACTGTGGGATACCAGATATAGTGAATGCAGGGTCCTGGTCCACCAGAACAAGAAAAAAGAGAAAGCTTCCCAATGGCATGCAGCCAGCAAAAAAAAAAAGCAATTTGTTTGTTTCCTTTACATCATTGGTTCTAGAGGCATGTAAATTTCACTACGTAGTTCAGATAAAAAACATTTTTGTTTTAGAGCAGAGAATACCCTTAGCTTTGTAGCCTGTTGATGAGAAACCCTTTACTTTCTGTTCCAGTGGCAATGGTCAACAAAATAGTAAGTGAGGGGGATACAGACAGTAATAAAGACTGCAAAACGGGGGTTAAACACACTGTGTATTGTGTAATGCACTGTAGTAGCATGAGCTACATACAGTAAGTGGATGCTGTGTTCCAGCAGCAGTACAAACAAGGTGACATCTTATGCCTGCCTCTGCACCTTGGCCAATCAGAGGAAGCTTTTCATTCATTGATATATACAAGGCTTCTTCTGAATGATGGAAAAGCACTCAGCCGGTTTCACTGACTTCAGCAACAGACTGGAAGTCATCTGTACTGCTGCCAGAACACAGCACTGCTTACTGTATGTAGCTAATGCTACTACACTGCAGTAGAGCCCACAATGCAGCTGCATTGTTTAGTAATGGAAACAGTTGATTTGGGTCAGCGTGGCCAAAATCAACTATTTAAAAGTTAATAGAAACTTGAAATTCTACTTTAAAACAAATGCTCACTGATCTCTGCAGACACTGTGGAGCAATTCATCTTCAAAATTTACATCAGAAGCGCTGAAATTGTTTTCTCAACATCTCAGCTAACTGCTACGCATTCCAGTGCATCTGCTCTACATTTACATTGAAGATAGATTTACTGGAAGGCTGCTAAATCACTGCTGGGAGGTAAGGAATTTAGAGCTTCTGTTGTGGACTTGGAGGACGAATACAAATGTCCACAGCCTGGCCACAGGTTCAATGTAAAAGTACAGATTGACAGGGATTAGTAACATACTTTCAAGATGCACTAAAACATTTACAATTAACTATTTGCGCTCAGGAAGGTTTTACCCCCTTCAAGGCCAAGCCATTTTTTGCTATTCGGCACTACGTGGTCATGCAACACTATACTCAAATTAAATTTATATAATTTGTTTTCACCCAAATAGTGCTTTCTTTTGGTGGTATTTGATCACCACTGGGTTTTTTATTTTTTATTATACAGAATGAGAAAAGACCAAAAACGTGGGGAAAACAAACAATATTTGTTTGTTTCTGCTATAAAACATATCCAATAAAAATGTAAAACAAAAAAAAATAAATCAAAATTTCATCATAAATTTAGGCCAAAATGTCTTCTGCTACACGTCTTTGGTATAAAGAAAAATCCTACTAAGTGTATATTAATTGGTTTGCATGAAGGGTACAGCATCTATAAACGATGGCATATATACTGGAATTTTTAGTGACTTATAGTGGGACTGTGATAGTGTGGCAGGCAATCTGACACTAACGGACTCTGGGTGGGAATTGACTAAATGACACTGACATCTCCAGTGACACTAGTACAGTGATAAATGCTGCTAACATACACTGTCACTGTACTAATGACAATAACTGGGAAGGGATTAACATTTAGGTGCAATCAAAGGGCTAACTGTGTACTTAACAATGTTTACGGTGTTTACTGGGTGGTGTTTTCACTAAGCAATGTGGCGGTTTTAACTCGCTACTTTGCAGGGAAAAAAAGGGAATGTCTGTAGAGAGCACTGTGTTGATTACCAACACAGGGCTCTCGTCTGTCATTCGTTTAGCTGATCAGAAGGTCCCGGCCATAAATCATTGGCAGGGACCTGTTGATCGGCATGTGTTGCAGCAAATGACAGCACAGCCTGGGCAGCGGGTGTCTCCTTCCTGGAACAGCCGAATCACGTACGATCCGACACAGTGCCGCAGTATATCTGCAGTAGGCAGTCAGCAAGTAGTTAAAGAAAAGGGAAAACTACATTACCTGTTCTCTTGTCTTCTCCAGCTGCAGAACAAGATCTTCTCGTTCATGAGGTGCAAAATGACGAACGCCAACTTCATCATCCCCTACTCTCTGTTTGGCAATAGTCATTCTCAGCAGCTAAATCACAAAAACATGAAATGTTGAATTATTACTATAAACCTATAATATTAAATACTATACTATAAAATGAATCCATTTAAAGCCTCCATCACATCAACTAAATTGAATTAATCTGATGTATACAATAATAAATGCTGCTGTACAGAAGACAGCAAAACGTGACTGGTGTATCATACCTTCACCCTCAATTCTGTGTTTGCATAAGATTTTTGGAGGGGCCTACTGTTAGAGTGCACAATG